TTTTTCATTTTATTACATATTAGAGTTATTTCTAATTTTTTATATGATTTTATTTCAAACCTTATCATTTTTCTATTTTATCATTCATCCAGAACCCAATATATATATATATATATATATATATATATATATATATATATTTATATTTCTATCACACTTCTTAAATGTCTAGTATTTTATAATCCATATAACGTAGCTGGCCTTACAATTACTTTATAATTATTTTTTTTAGCTCAATTGATATTTGCCTATGAAAACATAAAGACTCTTAATGCATCCTTCCCTTAAGCTTTGGGGGTTGAAAAGTAAAATTCAGTCAAAAGTGTATTAAATATTTGGTAAGATTTTTTTAAACACCCTAATATAAATGTTAAAATCCTAAAGCTCAAGAAGTACAAATACAAATATATAAAGTATAAAATCTTATATTTTATATTATTTTATATATATTTATACTGTACATATTTATACTCTTTGCATATTGAGTCTAAAACGGTGAGGCCCTTGTAAAATCGTTTAAATTAAGTGATTTAAACTTTATCCAAACACAACCTAAGTAAAAGCCACAACTCCCACCACAGTACCACACAGCTATGGCATGTGAGACAGTGTGTCCTTGTAACTCCTTGTCAATCCCAACCAAAAAAATCAGAAAATAAAACATCTATCAAGTATGAACTGTGAACTATCCCGTTCTTCTAGAAACTGATGCCACAGGATTCATTATAAAAGCAGAGATGTCAGTGGGACCCACCAACTCCAACCTTCGCGCATTATCATTATTGGGGCCCAAATTTTTGAGACATTTTATTCCAGTCAGACGGTTGTGATTGGGCTGTATCTGATGACGATGATTTCATCGAATCATTTTCCACGAAGTGGTTCTACGACAACGACGCGTGGTACCCCACGCCCTTGTAAAACGTGTTTCTCGTTAGTCTGTCATTTTACCCTCCCCGATTCGCTAGAAGACAAAATCCAAAAGAATAAAGTATTTGAAGAAGGAACGGTTGAGAATTCCTTTGAGCAAAAATCTATGCTGCAGAAAATACATGATACCGGACGACAAACCACATTTGCTATTGCTAGCGCTGCGCTGAAACAGTAAAAATCAAAATCAAAGGCTTTGATTGAAGCTAACATCTATAAACCTTTGATTTATAGATGTGGCCCCACCTTGAATTGAATTAAATCAAAAGGCTTTGATTTTTAGTTTTAGCCATGTGCTTAGCAAAAGTGAACTCGATACCGGAAGGGCTTTGGCCGATTAAACCACCCGTGAATTTGATAAATAACAATCTGATTTGTTATAACTTTTATGATATCGATTAATTGGTTAAAAGTTTTTGCCGATATCATATATTTCCGGCAGCATATATTTCCTGAGGGTTCGTGTCTGATGCGGAGTTATTGATCTTCTTCAATTATCATTCAGACCTTCGGTTCACCCGAACCATCACCGCCCCTGCACAAACCTTTTCGAGTCACGATGATCATATGAAACAAAATATCGACCGGTCAGAACAAAATGACGCACGCAATGACTACGTTATGCATGATGAAAGATCATAGCCGTTCTTTTTATGGAATTGCATTTTTGCTGGCTATGGATTCGACCAAAAATTGAATTTCTAATCAGATCCAAATTAGGTGTTCCCTCAACTTTACTTACTAAATAAAACCGGACCGGGGTTAAATCATCGATAATAAATAATTTTTTTTTTTAATTTGATCTCATCAATCTGAGTTGTCCGGAGTTAAACTGGTTTTTCAGTTATATCCAATTTATACGGGTTGGGTTCCTACAAACCTGACAAGATCAAAATTGTAGCGTGGAATAGGATACAACCGTAATTCGATGAGAAATGAAGGATAATTATGGTACTAGAGGTGCAGAACCAGCAGAACCTTCCCTGATCCCTCCAAATTCTTGCACTTCTTCCTCCAGCAGCTCACAGTTGTCCAATGACGCGTACTATACACGCGTTGATACATCATTCACTGTCTCGAGAAAATTAACCTTTCCTAGCACTCAGAAACAGATCACACCAGCGCCACATATGCACATCCCAAGGTGCATTAGTTATATCTATCGTATTTGTCACTGAAAGATATTCCTAATATACGGTTAGATATTCTGTGGAAAGCGCCGAAGTGAACTCTCCGAGAAAAAATCAAGGTCTCGAGATGCCGCGGCAAGACTTCCGCTATGACTTGAACCACAATATCCCCATTTTACCCCTGTAATTTTCTTCGTGAAATTCTCCCATTCACGAAACTATCCCCCGTATTTCAACGAAAGTGCTGTCATTGTTTGGTTCAGTCGATTATTAAAAAATTGGATATGCCTCGAAAATTGGGACTCATTCATGCATCGGTGAACTGTTTTCCTCAACGGTTGACTGATGTAAATCCTATGTGATGCTTATTTGTCAACACATACATAAAAAACGGTGATGAAAATCACCTCACCAAACAGTATATTATTGCTTACTGCCTACGTGGCAGAAGTGTTTTTTTTTTGTGAAAATGGGTCTTAGAAAGCATGGATGTTTTTTCTTGAAAATCGGTCCTAAAAAATGCCCACGCTTCCAAACACCATGTTAAAACACAATCACCATTATTTGTATCTGAATCTGGTTAGGTGAGAATGTGTCTTTCATCTATGTTAGCGCTGCATCAGCCAGGGTGTTCGAGATTTTTCTTCTGACTGATGTTGAGATTTTGCTTTTGAGGAAAAAATAATTGATATTTCTTAACACACCCCTAACATGGATTTCTATGCAAATTGTTTTATCATTATTTTCACTTAAATTCTTTGACCAATTACAAGAGGAGAATGATGGTTCAGCCCAGAGTCAGAATTTGTAGGCCTAAAGTATTGTTAGGGTAGGTGTCAGGTCAGTTGCTAATTCATAGGCGGGGTGCGTTGGTACATAGAGTGTGGTTTATTGACATTTTGAATGTTTATAGCTCTGCAACGAAAATCAGAAACCTGCATTGGGCCTGTTTGAACTTTTTCAATTAAAATTGCTCAAAACACTTATGTAGTTACGTGGCAATGATGTTGAGGCATTTATACTTAGAAAGGTCAATGATACCAAACAGCCCCTTTGAAATCACTCAAGACTCAAGTTATGCATGAGATGGCTGATGTGGCAATTCAATCTTTATTCAAATGATTTGATATTACTTCCCTTTTTACAAGTGGCAAGCCTAACCCAACACCCAATTAAAGCTGATACTATTCGACCTCAAGGTCGTGCCAATACAAGGCGGGGATGCTCTGTGGGACGTTGTAGGGCACCCCCTCGTGAGGCACTGATCTGACATTTAACCCATACCATTGAATCCCTAAACCCTTCTTACCAAAGAAAAATGGAAAATGAATGATTTTTCTTAGAATGATATTTAATAGAAAATTTATTTCCCCAAAAGACTCTTAATTTATTTCTTTTTTTTTTATATTGATTGTTTTCATTGCACTTCCAAGCAAGCATTATATAAGACTATTTTTTATTATGAGAAATTTCATGTTCTTCCATTTTATATGCAACCAATTGCAGATCAAGTTTATTGGATGTAGAGTTGTTTGGTGTAAGGTTTATGTCCACCCATGCCTTCTTAGATCAGTAGTTTCCTTTTTTATATTAGGTTTGTATCGAAAGAAAGTTTATTTGTGGATTAAAACAAGGATCTGTTCCTTTAAGTATTTTTTTTTCAAGTCTTATTAACATGTAATTATTAATATTGGCTGCACATTAAATCTAGTAATCAAGGAATCGCACTAAAGTATGTTTTTATACCTTCTAGGCAAATGAGCCAAGGAGTATAGCACTCCCTCAACCATTTAGGATTGATTATATGAATCAAATTTGCATTTTCATCGGTGCATTTACTTTTTTTAACCAATCTCTTATTAATTTAGGATCTTGATAGATACTAATCAAACACAATAACTCTATGATTACTTTGGGGATGTTTGGAACGTGGCCGTTTTTCCAACAAACGTCCATATATTTCATTGTTTGGTTCAGATGTTTATTGAAAAATCAAGCATGTCTCGTAAATCGAGACCCTATCGATGCATGAAACATCAAATTTGGCGTTTCATGCATCGATGAACTATTTCCCTCAATGGTTGACTGATTGACAATTACGTGTATCTTACGTGGTGCTTACCTGTCAGCATACATAAAAAGCGGTGATGAAAATCACCTTATCAAACAGCATAGTGTTATTCAGTGCTTATGTGGCAAAAACATTCACACACAAAATTAAAACATTTTTTTTTGTGAAAAACAGGTCTTAGAAGCATGGGCATTTTTTTCTTAAAAATCGGTTCCAATAAATGTCTACGCTTCCAAACACCATTTTTATTATAAACCGTAAAACCGCAAAAATATTCAACCACAAGGCAAGATCAATGAGACACTTGTCACAAACTAAATGAAAGTGAACAACAAGCTCATCACAAAAAAACTGCACCAGATCTTGACCATTCAACCACCAAGAATCAAGAGCTCAATCCAAGCAAACCATTCTCAACGATAATCCTGGCTATCCAGTGTCTTGAGAGGAGTTGTAGACCTAATCTTTTGGCCTCACAAAGTGGCTGTTCTAAGACTCGAATTCATATTCTCACACTTGTCAGCTCAAGATTTTTCCATTACACACCAATGACCCTATTGACCAAATAAACCATTAAAACCACCGATAACATGAAATCCCAGGAGAGCCGATAGCTGAATCTTTTGATGAACGGCTGAAATGGCTGAAACCGAATGACTTATTAAGACTATAGAAATTAACCCTACCCGGTTCACCCACTTAGAACGGTGTCCTTTGACTATGACTTCTCATGACCCCAAAGGGTATTTTCGTGAGTTAAAAACATTGATGAATGAAAATAAAGTCGAAAAAAGGGAAGGCTGAAGGGGTAAGACTGTAATTACACGTATCAACCCTTTCAGCAGAATCTACTGTATATATTCATTCTGGCTCCCTCCCCGAAGTCCGAACTCAACGCAACCTCTCGTTAAGCTGCAGAGGAGGGAGGACCTTTCTTTCTCTCCAACAAAGCCACGAGGCAGAGAGAAAGGTGTTGTTTCTTCTGCGTGCTCGAATCTCTCAGATTATACGGCGGCAATGAAGAAATCAGGATTCTTGATGGCTTCCATGGCTGCAGCTTCTGCCACCGCTATCTCTGCTTCTAATACTTCTTCCTCTTCATCTTCGGATTTCTTCGCCAATTCGAAGATCCAAACGCATTGCGAGGTAAATATTCATGAAAGCCGTGTTTTCGTTCTTTCTGCTCACCGTATCATCCTGCTCTTCTTAAGCATTTGCATTTCTTTGCACATTCCTTCTGTTGTCTCATGTGTTTTTTATTATTTCATGAAATTGTCGAATTCCTTTAATGGTTTTTCGAGTCTTTTTCTTTGAGCTAAACTGTTTGTAAGATTTTAGGCTCAGATTTTCTTGCGTTCTTTATATTTCGTCAGTATTTCTTGGGTCCATTTCCTTTATTCCCTCTTTCTCCCAAGGTTTTGTTTTCTGTTTCTTTTTTTTTTTGGAGGGGGGGGATGATTTTATTCTTGAAGAATACAACGCAATTAATCCATCTTAAACTAACATGGCATCTTATTCTAATACTTTTTTGTTTAATCCAGGACTCTGTGTCAAGCAAGGGCCGAGATAATTTTTCTGCAAGGATGCAGCCCTCGTCGGATAAATTTGCGCCGAGGTTCGACGGATTGAGATTCATTGAGACGCTCGTCACGGCTCATAGATGAGCAACATCCCTCACATGAAAGAACATCCCATAATTTCAGTGTTTTAAAGAAATATGGTGTGGTTTCTTCCTTTCTGTTTGCTCGATTTTATTTTCAAATTTAACAGTTTTGGTAGGATATTTGTTAGGAGACAGAGGTGATTATGAGTGGGGGAATTAATGGCATCAGGTTCATTGCTAAATTGCAACATTACATGTTATGTTGTTGTAATTTCTAATTAGTGGCATGATTAGCATCGTAACTTCTCCAAATCTCTTTCTTAAAATCTAAAAATCTAGTTGTTTGGTGGTCGGTTGGCTTTGATTTTATTACTGACTTCAGTTGCAGATAGTGACAATTCTTGATCTGACCCATCAACACCACCCTATTTTGTTGCTCTGCTACTGCTAACCTATGGAATTAATGAGCTCGGATCTTAGTTGTTGCCTATTCCTACCTTGATTTTTTCTTTTCTTTTTTTAATTAGACCCAGACCCGACCCAGATTTTGCATAAAGGCGAGTTGTCTACCTCTTTTTTCCAGTAGAAATGATTAAGCTCATTGGGTTTGGATGGGGCCAGGATTAGGCATTCATCCAACCCGACATGGGATCAGAAGAGATTGAATTTCTACCTCCTCGGGTAGGAACTGGAACCAGAATTCTCATAAGATATCTTTCAATCTCTAAACCTATGTTGATGATCTGTACTGGTAACAGTGCATATAACTATCATTTCATATTAACTGCTGCTTCTTAATTTATTATACTTTTTTCTTATAATTTATAAAATGTTCTGGAATACAATGGTCAGAATGTTGAGTGGGATCAATATGCTGAGCACCGAACTTAAAATTATCTCTTGGGGTCCAGAGCTCCTTCTGGAACTGAATGAGAGAGAGAGAGAGAGAGAGAGAGAGAGAGAGAGAGAGAGAGATGTAATGAGATTTTAGACTTGGTAATTAAACTGAATGAAAGGTTTAACAGGGCAATTTAATACCTTTCATGGATGGAGAAATGACTTGTTGATAAAATGAGCAGAGCTTGGATGAGGATGTTGAGATTTGATAAATAGCATAACCAAACTGGGTAAGAGGAGAACACAAATGATATCCTTAAAAATTCAGGGGTGATTCTAACGGGTGATAGAATTAAGAATAATCAACTGATTTGATATGGCAATGAGCATTGAAGACCAATGGTGAACCAGTGACAAATGCTGTAATTCATTGGAAGGCTACAGAAGGATAAGAGAAGACCCATAAAAATTAAAAAAATATAAGCAGAATTAATGGAAAAAAGATATGAAGATTCATAGTTCATTGACTGATATGTATAACATGGAAGCAGTAAAACGGGTAAAACAAATTCATGTAACCAATCCTTGAATCCCAAAATCCAAATTCAGGTAGCATAAATTCAGAGAAATATTGTGAACAGAAAACTTGACACATTAATGCTGTGGTTCCCTATTCTTAGGAGATCAACACCTGTTTCAGTGCCTGATTCCCTGAAACAATTGTCAATTTGCAAAATCAAGGATTTGGAAGGTGAGCTTCACCTAAGAAGGACGAATGCTGTGTTCAGTTGTATGTAAAGCAAAGGAAAATGAATAATTTCCTTGGAAATTGATATTCATTGAGAAAACGAACCTGAATAGCTGAGAAATGCAAGGAGGTTGCAAGATATGAATCAAGAGGATCACCCTCTGTTTGCAACATAAATTATGATAATTAGAAGGAATGCCATTTTTCTAAAATTAGTAGTCCTTTTTTTTTCGAAAATGCTTTGTCTCCCACATCCATATTACATATGATCCAAATCTCGACCTTTTGTACAGCTACTGGAGGCAGTAACTTTTGGTACAAGAGGCAGAACCAAATGGAGCCAAAAGCAAAAGCAAATTTAATTGTACAACAACAAAGGCGACTGATGGCTTTTTATCGTAAATAAGATCCAAGAAAAATTCTTTATAATTTTTATCGGTTGAGATCATTTGGCATTCTTTTTCATACAAAACTCGGTGCTGCTGAAGCTATTAGAGATTCAATTCTCTCTAAATTCAACATAAAAATTTCAGTCTTTTAGTTTGGTGAGGATCCCTGAGAATTGTGCTTTCAAAATCTGAGCTATATAATGATTAGACATGTATTCTGCCATTTGGTGAGGATCTCTCAGAGTGAACCATGCCATCATCATATGTTCATAATTCATCATGTGCCACAATTACTCCCAATCTTCAGTTGAATGTTCTGCAGAAATTGAAGATTATAGCAAAGGTGCTATGCTTTCAGAATCTGAACAATATAATGACAAATGACATGTAGGGCGGAGGCATAAATATTGGCCAAGGAGAGGTAAGGTAAAAAATGTAATAAAGTGGGTCCTTGGCGGCTCCCCCCCAAACTGGAACTAAAATGTTAAAGAAAAGGATCATTTTCTAATGCTCCTGCAACTCTCAAAATTAAAAACATCTATAATAGACCCAAACCTTCCCACCCCATTTCCCTACACAGCCTACCTCTTCTACTCCCACCTCATTTAAAAAAACTGGAACTAACATGTTAAAAATCTATTAAAAACTTTATTTATTTTTTCTTTAAAAAAATCTATAATAGATCCAAACCTTCCCATCTCATTTCCCTATACAGCCTACCTCTTCTATTCTAACCTCATTTTCTTGTTTAACTTGGCTCCTTATAAGAAAATTCCTGGCTCGCCACTGGAATGGAGTATGTAATCCTACTCAAATCTATATGATGAGGAGCCTTCAGGGTTAGTCATGTCTATCTTGTTTGCCCATGTCATCACCATATATTCACATTCCATCATGCATGTACCTTAAATCTCTGGTGATAATACACTCAATTTTTTATTCCGAGTTTTTTCCAACTCAACAAGAACTTTTGCTAAATGGAAAAGGTTGGCTGGTAGCTTGATACATGCCAAGCGGAGTTAGGTGAGTGGATATATGCGTGGTCCATTAGGGCTGCTGCCTTGTCTACCACGTACCAAAATGATGTACAGACATGATACAGTACTTATTTAACCCAAAGAAGAAACTTGGCATCTTAGATTGTATAATCTTAACACTATGCAAATATATTAAATTAAGCACTTCACTCGTTTGATTCAACGCTTACTAGAAATTTTCTTTTTAATCTTGTTATAATAATGTTAGAGATGTTCTCAAAGTTTTGCAACTTTCTAATAATTAATAGAAAAGATGTCGGCATATGAGTTATCATAATGGCCAGTGCCAACTTTGTACATGAAGGCTGTAGCTATCTCCATTCTCAGAAGAAAAATTTTGAAAGGTATAACAATTTTTAAGTTTTAATGAAAGAATATAAACAGCACTCAAAACCCAGGAAATTAGAAATTCAGTTCATCTGAACCGACCGCTGTAGCTCATGAGATCAGCAAATGGATCTCAGGAGATTATTGATCAGTCAAGCTAGTTAAAGTTTAATGTTTTGCGATAAGTGGACTGCAATCCACCTCAGAAATCTGAATTGCAGCCCCTTCTTAGTAGGGTGGAAAAACCCCTAATTTTTTTAATGGGGAAATTTCACTTTAGTACCCTGGACTTTGGGCATGGTGTCAAGTTAGTACCCGAATTTTTAAATGGGTCATTGCAGTACCTAAACTTTTGAAAAATGTCAAGTTGGTCCTTGCCATTAACCGATCGCCAATTAACTATTGAAAATGTCAAAACTACTTTTCAAGACACTATTCATTGTCTTCTGAACAATTACTGAAAGCAAAAGAATAACTCGACAAGAATGTGTTTCAGATCTAAAGGTAGAAGACAATGACTTCATTAGTCTAGAATCTCAAACACCTCTACTGGTTCAGCTTCAAGGTAGAAGACAATGAATAGTGTCTTCTTTTGAAAGGTAATTTTGACATTGATGTTGCACAATCCGGCTGCTCCCAGCTGGAGGTGATCTGGCTTCCAATAGACAACGGACACAGTTGATCTGCAAAAAGCGAATCTGAAAACCCGGGGTTGCTTACCTGACGACGTCGCTCCGATGCTTAAGTTAGTACTTGGTTGTGAGCTGATAAGAGCTAGTGAGTAGAGATTACGTGTACCTTGCACCCCCGGGGGGTGAAGCCTTTATATAGTGGAGTCCTTGCAGGTTTCACAGAGCGGTTCCGGGATCCTCGTTACGATGAGGTCCGTTTCCGCGTTAATTGGGGATAACACTGCCAACTGATAAGATTCATCACTTCCGCCCGAATTGGACGGGGGAGATGATGCTAGCTGTTACGAGGCGTGACCCCGTAAGTCGTGGAATCTGGTGGCAAGATCTTCGGGGTTACCATGCAATGGTCGGTCAATACTACCCAAGCTAGTGCTCTTTGGATCCAACCTGGCACGAATGCCGAAGTGCCTTGGGACCGAGGTGGTCCTGATGCGATCGTGCCCCGAGGTGGTTTTGTTATCCGAGTTCAATTCGTTGCAGACTTGGTGCGTCGGACTGAGCTGTCATCCTGGTAGTTAGGTCGTGTCCACGTGTCTCCCTATTACTAGATCGGGCCAAATCACCCTACATCAATTGCCCCCCACTCCCCGAGCTAGGGGTCCTGACCTGGTGCGGGGAGTTCATGACGAGCCAAGTGGATTTGGTCCGAGGTCCGGGCAGCTAGCCAGATGAATCACAGGTCTGACTTATTCAGCCACTCGGCTCAACCAAGAAAACCCAGGTTGCGTCTGACCTATGCGCGAACGTCACACGATGTATAAACTCCGCGGACGTCAAAAAATGCGCTAAACCGATTTTATCCTCGGGGGTCGCGCAACCGGTTTTCCTAAGGGCTGTTGGATTACTTCGATCTCGACTATTAGTTCTCGGACATAGCGGCTATAAATAGGGGGTCTGTGACTCATTTTTCTCACCACAAATTCTGTGATTGAGCTCTCCCGAGGTCGCGTCGGAGTCTTTCAGCTCACTCTTCTCTTTGTTTTCCGAGGTCGTCTTTCTTTTTGGTGAATTTGTTTTTTCCTTTGTTTGCTTCTCCTTTGCTTTTTAATCATGTCTAGCTCTAGCGTAGACAGACTTTTAGGTAGCTCTAGTGAGGTTGAGGGTGCCGTGGTGCAATCCACGGCCCTTGCTAGGGAGGTCAGCTCGCCGCTGGGTGACTCCCCTCTTCAGCCTTTAGAGGGATCTTCCGTTCCCAAAGTTGAGCCATCTCGGCTCGGGGAGACCGAGGTTCGGGAAGAGGGTCCGTCCTCTAGAGTGGAGGCCCCATATTCTTCCCGGGTTCGGGATCCAGATGACTTCAGTCCTTCTACTCTGACCTCGGATAGGCTAATGTACCTAG